GGGGGGGGGGGGGACGACACTTAGCTCCTCCCACAATGCACACAGCCCCCAGCAGCGGGGAGGGCTCAGCAGGGTGACAGAGTTCCCCATCAGCACCCACAGTGAGACTGGTGGGGGCGGGGGAAGGGTGTCAGGAACAACAGGACACCCAGAGGGCAGTGACCCGGGTGCTCTCCAGGCAGGAGAGCCAGAGTGGAGGGCTGGTGGCTGCCGGAAGGAGCCTATGCAGTCCCAGCAAATGCTCCTCTCAGATTAGAGAGGTATGTGGGTTGGAACCTAAACACAGGATGTGAAGTCCAGAGGAAAAGGACTGGAGGGGGAGGGGCGGAAGGGAAAGAGAGGGCCAGGCCCGGTCAGTTCTAGCACCATTAACCCCTTCAGGGCCATGCAGAGGGAGCCAGGCCAACTGGAAACATTTGTACTAGGAAACTACACCACCCGCTAAGCCCCTTCCTCCCTGCTGGCTCGTTGGTGGGATCTGAGTAAGCCATGGGTGTATACAGCAGACTCGGGGAACCTCCCTCCTTCCCCAGCAGACCATGGCCAAGGGTGAATATCTGAGACCCCAGTCTGAGGGGAAAGGAGGGGACTTTGGGGAACCACTGCTCCAAGGGAGGGATTTCACATCCAGGCCCTTCCCTGGCCAAGGTAAAGCAGTTCCAGACTGGTCTGCTAGAGATGTGAAGGAGCTGGTGGAAAGGACAGGATGCAAAGAAAATATCTCCTCCCTACTCGCAAGAGAAAACGCCACCTCCCTGGCTGGGAAAAGGAGGACAAGGAGAGAGGGCAGGGGATACCCTCAGGAGCCCAGCACCCGCCCGCCCCAGCACAGGAAGCTCCAGAAACTGACTGGGTTGGGGGGTGGGGGGCACCTGAAATGTCATTAAAAATGCCAACTTGAACCTTTCCAGTGACCGAACACCAAAGTTTGATAAGTACCACTTTGGAAGATGCCTCCAAAGGATAAAACCCCTTCCCAAGCATGTCTTCATTTTCAGGTCCCCACGGACAACAGCTATCAGGGGCCTCTGGCCATGACTGAGTGGGAATGGAGATTTCCCCTCCCCCACGCTCAGCAGCAGGGCCTCGCTTCGTTCCCAATAGGCAGCTGGGCCTCAGCCCAGGGCTTTTTTGACAGCCCATCCCACAGATGGAGATTCTGAGGCCTCAAGTGTCAGAAGGGCTGGGCCAAGATTCAGAGCAAAACTGTGGAGTGGGGGTGGGGAACAGCAGCCCCAGGACCAAGGGCACCGGCTAGCCCCCACTCACCTCGGCCTTATACATGCGGATGAGACCCTGGTTCACTTTGGACCAGGTAGGGACAGCACTGATGTTCCACAGCTGGTTGGAGTGCTCTGCAAAGGGGCCTGTCTTCATCTGGAAAAGAGAGTCCAAAGCAGGAAAGGTGGGCACCTGGGAGCCCATGCCCTGCTCCCCTGTGGCAAGGTGAAGCATGCATACATATATACATGCACATACACACAGACGCATGCACACACACATGCACGCATATACACACACACGCACAGATGCATGCACACATACACAGACATATACATGCACACAGATAGGGACAGACCACATCATCTGCCTATCTGTGCACACATACATACAGGCACACTTGAGTGCCAGAGACAGGGTCCCTCTTGGCCTGCAAGAGGAAAACCCATTGGGAAAACATAACCCCCAGTCAACCTCTTCCTTCCACAGCCAAAAAAAAGGGGGAAAGTCGGATTCCCACCACCCACCAAATCTAGCAGCCTCAGAAAAATAAAATCTCCACCCAAGCTCCCAGTGAAGCTCCCACCAACTCCCAAGCTACAGGGTGCTGACAGCATGGGGACCCACTCAGATAAACAGCAGCAGCCTGCACCCCGGCTCTCCCCAGCCCAGTCCCACACACAGGGTGGGCTCTGTTACGGTGCACTTGGTCTGCGCCTGCCACTGGCAGAGCTGGGAGAGCGAGGGAGGGGTCAGTTTGGAGGATGGCCAAGCTGGATAAGACCAGACCCAGGCATCGACTGCAGCAGATTCGGGAGGAAGGTCTGCGTAGAAAGGCAGTACAACCTGGGCAGGAAGTGGGGAAGGGATGGCAGCCACACCAGCAAGGGACAGGCAGGAGCAGGGGCAGCTCCATTCCTGGTCCCTCCTCAGGCCAAAAGTGGCCTCAGGGAAGGAAGGAATCCTGCAGCAAGCCCAGTTGTGTTCTCATGACATCAGGAGCCACAGCACTGAGGCAGGGAGTTTGTATGCATGAGTGGGCCCCTCAAAGCACATAGGGCCGGGGCCAGGGCTAGCATGTTCCTTTGTGGTTATTAAGCAGGCAAGTTTGGTCCCCTCAGCACTACCCCCTCCCTGGCTGATAGGTGGCACTGATGCTGGCGGAACAGAGTTCAGCACCCTGAGCCCCAGGCTTCAGAAGAAAGAGTTTTAAAAGCAAAGAGGTTAAGCTGGCAAGGACGTGTAGACTTGGACCCTGAGAGTGTGGAAGGTTCCAGAAGAGGCTGTGCTCGAAAGCAGGGCTGAGGGAGCTATTCTGGGGAGAAAGGAGGGGTCCAAAGCTCTCTGCATCCTGGGCATCACAAGAATAAAGGTCCAGGAGCACATCACCACCCCACCGCCACCCCACCCTGCTCTTTGGCTGTGCTCTCTGCCAGGGACCCCTTCCCTTAGCCTTCCCCCTTCTCCAGTAAGGGAAACTCACAAAACTGCCATTCTGCCCCAAGTCCCCCAGAGCCTGTCTCAACCCCCATTCAGTACAATAGCCTTCTTACTCCAGGAGTGAGGCCACAGCCCAAGGCACTAGACAGACACAAAACCCACCCGGGAGCCCACAGTCCGTTCACCCAGAATCATTCCCCTCCTCTACCTAGGCTCTCCCCACCAGGAGGGCCACTGGGCACCCCAGCCTGCAGGACCTGGCCTTCATGCAGCTTTGTTCCGACAGTCCCACTAGAGCAGGCTCCACCCTCCCCCTCTCCCCACCCCCTCCCAGGCTCTCTGCCCTGGGGACTAGAGCCAGGCTCCAGCCCTCTCTGGCACACTCCAGACCCTGAGCTCAGGGAACACGGGAGCAGTGGGACCAGTTTCATTCTTTTCAGGGTGCCCTCAGCACACCACTCAGGAGGACCCTGCTGGCTTCGTCCCGCAGCAGCAGCTCCAGGGCCCTGCTCAGTAGAGCAGCTCAGGCCAAGGCCAGCAGATGGACGCTGGGAAACCAGAGGCTCTGCCTCACCCACAAGGGGCATGGGAGGGGGCCCCACAAGGTCTCTCTGCTCTGTGGGCAGAGCCAGGGGGAGGCGCGAGCTCCTGAGCTCCAGTGGCCCTGCCCCACCCACGGAGAAACCAGAGGCGCTGTTTCTCTAGAGGAGCTGCCCCAGGCCCCAGCCCCGGGCCTGCAGTGTCCCAGGGTCTCCCTAAGTCCTTCAGCAGGAGACTCTACAACTCTGGGACAGGAAAACAGGAATGGGGGCGAGAAGACAAAAAAAATTAGCTCATTGTAGCCACAGAGGGAGGCGAGCGAGAGCGAGCAGCAGGAGCCGCCGGCCCGCGGCGACCCAGGGGAACGGTGAGTCAGAGCAGCCATGTTGGGCAGGAAATTACTCACAGGCGCGTTCCTGCCTCTGCGCTCCCGGGAGAATCGGCCTTTTGTAAATGGTTCCTCTGTCGGCGGGCGGGGGCGGGGAGCGCTGCGCCTTCCTGTCAGCGCCTTCCTCCCGCCGACACCCGATCCCTCCCTTCCCAAAACTCCAAATTTAGAAGCCAGATTGAAACTGGAATTCTTTTCCTGCCGCCGGCTCTTAAAGGCGCCAGGGCTGCATTTCCTGCAGCAGCAGTTGCGCGAGGTGGGTGCCTCTCCCGGGGGCCCGGGCTCCAGGCAGGTCCCGGGCTCTTCCCGGCTCCATCCCCGGCAGCTGCGCCAGCCCTCGCGGCCCAGGCCCCCAGGGGACCGCCGCCCCTGCCAGGCCAGAGCGCGAAGAAGTGCTCGTGGTCCCTCGTCCGCCTCTAG